AACTTCTGAACTAGAAATAAATACTATAGGTTAGTTCCTAAGGTCAAATAGACGTAGGCTGATGACATGAACTTCGATCTACTGCTCAACACTGATCATCCTACAATACACTAAATAAATAGTCTAATTGATCATTCTGAGTAAAGTAGGAATTCATGAAACATATTCTTTGAAACATTAGCATCATAATGAATTAGCAAATTATTGATTGTAAAGTCTGAAAATCACTTTTTGGTTATTTAATAAGTCATAAATATTCAAGGCTTTAAAGAAACAAAATGATCTTTAGACTTTTCAATAGTTTACATGAAAGGTTATAATTTTCTTTGAATTACAATATTGAGTAGATATAGTTCTGCTTTTTTTTTAATCTTTTTCATTTACTTTTGTAATAACACCAAAAATGATAGTAGATGAAAACCTTTATCAAAATATGTTAGATAATAAAATAATTTTCTGAAAAGAATGTAGATGTATTTGAGAGTTATTAAATTAATAGTAATTTCTTTTCTAATTGACTAGGAAAACATGGACCAATCTATGTTCAATTGTAAAAAAAACTAGATTATTAAAAAGGATTGTAAGTATTAATGATGAGTAAATGTTTGAAATAAACTTTGGCTTAGGAAACATTTCAATATCACATAATCAACAGTAGTAATTCCAACTGACTCATGAATTCACTTATTAAATTACCATATCCATAAAACCTCTCTCTGATTATAATCATCATATGCTTACTAGTAATGGTTTCCAAGAAGTATTTCCTGGAGTTCTAATGAGAAGCAGTGACCAGTGGAGTTCAACCAGGTCATTCGTGAAATAGTAAATAACTGAAGACAATGGTTGATGGTAGCGCAATTTCGTGGATTGGTTGAAATTAGACATTAACACTGTTAGATGCTGGCTCAGTGGTTTAGAGGTTAAGCGTTTGCGCGAAAGACTGGGATCGTGAATGCGCACTACTGAGGAGTTCCATAATGGAACAATAAGGCCGTCCAGTGCCTCCAGAGTTTTCATGATGGTCTAGCTTCAATCGCTTCATGAATTCAACTGCTGAATTACTATAATATCTACAAAATCTCTTTCTGATTAGAATGTTAAATTTATCTATTTGAGTTGTATCAAAAAGAACAAAATTGATCTTATCCAGATTATTTAATTTGTGCTTTTTCTTGTCTGATTTCAATTAGAATTTATCTTTAAATTTCATCTCCCTAAAGATAAGTACAATCATATATTTATATTATTTATTACGTTTTCATCACTAACACAATATTAAGAATGACTTTTATTCGAATATACACCGTGATTCCCGATCAGTTTGTCATTTTTCATTGACACTTCAATTACTTCCCCAATATTAAATATTTCATCTCTTTTTAACTATATAGCTGTTTTATATAGCTAATCACCGATTGTAGAATAGGAGGAAATAAACGCGTATAAGGTTAGACGTTAGATTATTTTTATTCATTGTACAAAATATAAAACTTCTTTGATCAAGATCTCATAGTCGCTCACTGTCATTCCGTAACTCTTTTTACTTTGATTGACATTTGATTAAAATCTGCAAGATAAGTGGAATTTTTGATTTATGAATTTCAAAGGTTACTGCTCGGAAAACTGAGTCTGAATCATTAATTTAACATTGAATACACCAGATACTCTAAATGGCTCTACTTACTAGCACTTACAAATGCTAGATACAACCTAAGAGCTTCATTTCAATTACTTACAATCATCCAACACGTAATATGATACACATTTGAGATAAATCAACAAAAGTACGAATGAAATTAGTTATATATATTACTTTGAATAAGGCTAAATATAATGTATAATTCATTAATACTTACTAACAATTTAGTGGGAAACAGTTCATCTGTCATTTATGATTGATGATTCTTAACAAGCATCAAATGTACCTGGTTACATTTGTATTTCTTTATCACTATACATCATTTCTTGAAAATGAACTTACAAATATGAACTAAGTCAATGAAAAAAATTTAAGAAAGACTAAAATCAACTAATTTTTGGAACCTGTGTGAAAATCATTTGTCATAGTAACAAAATACTCGTTTCAGCATAAATTCATACGTAAGTTAATGGTGAATTATGTAATATAAAAAGCTTTTAGAATCTTTCGTAACAAGAAGAATAAATGAATAGAAGAAAATGACAATAGATTGTCAAGTATTATTCTAATAAGCCTGAAACTTTTTCATGAATGCAGTATATTTAATTATTTATTTTGACCAAAATTGCGTATATTCGCCCAAATAATATTTTTTTAGGGTGTATAAATGGGTGTGAATAGACATTAACTACATCTATACATCTATATACAAAATGTTTTAACCGCTTTAAGGAATAAAAATGAAGATCCTAATCTAACTACGTATTAATATAACAAACTTTTAACGTATATGGTTGTAGTCGTAAATTCATGTTTTAATGAAAGTATTAAAGACATTACTCTCTTGATGCGTCTGAAAAATAAAGGACTAATGAAATTTCGTTACTATTCATCTAAATTTTTGAATAATAAAGTAGTAGTGTTAGCGAAAAGTAAATTCGAAGACTTTCAACTTATTTTATTGACCACCTTTTTATCTTCTCACTTTTTGTTCATCGACGATATCCATGTCTTTATACTCTGTGCTTGAATTACAGTATAAAAAGTGTTGTATAGTTATTTTCAATCACACAATTTCATTGATAAAACCAGATGCAAACCAACAAATTTAAGGTTCTCAAGATCTCGGTCTACTTAATTACACTGTTAGATCCTTGAACCATTGAGTACATAATTTAATAACTAAAGGTTAATAGTGGATTATTAATCTATACAATTAGATATTAACTAATTTGAGTTGAAACTTTCAAGGTCATCAGAGCTTTTAATTACTTTTATATGAAGGAGGAACTCTTAACCGAAATGTTGCAGAATCTTGTTACAAATACGTTTTATACAGACTATTAAATTAGCTAACTTTGACAAATCAGACGTATTGTATACCCATTTAATTCTCTACTGTCCGTAATTAAATCTTGTTCATAATACTCTAAATAAAATAAAAATTCTAAAGCAAGGTAAGAAAATTACCATTAAACTAATGAATTACTTGCCATTTTTTCGAATGATTCTTTTACAACTTCAATGTATTCACTTCTACATAGAAAAATTGTGAAGTTACGGAAATACAATATTGTGAAACTTTCCCACCTAACCATATGTTTTCGAGAAATTCCGAAAATAGTAAAAGCTAATGAATGCAAAGTTAATCAAATAAAGAACGAAGAATATAAATAGTCAGTTAGTAAGTAAACCCACACTACAAATATTAGGTATAAGTAAATCAACTAAAAAATGAAGTCGCATCCATTTTCTCAACTATTTTCAAATCATGTTTACGAAAGTCTTCAAGAACTATCTAATAACATTAATTAGTAATCAAAGGATACTAAGCTTTTAAATTACCATCACGTAATGATTTGAAAGTTAATATATTGTTGTCAATAATTAGGTGATAACATCCCATGGATGGAGAGTAGCTTAATAAAAACCACTTAGATCAATGCACTTCTAAAGTAATTCTTCGTCATCTTACGAAATAAATTGTAGATTTTAGATTGATTTAGATCTTTACATAAGATATTAAGCATCTACATAAAAGTGTTAAAAATGATCTTCACGATTAAATTTACCATTATTTCATGAAGGTATAAAATTTCAGTCACCAATTATTTTATTATGATGAAATCACTAATTGATTAACAGCTTGTTAATCGTTCAATAAAAATGTGTGTTTTTCTTTGTTAATATTTCAACTTCCATGAATTATACTGAAAAAACGACACTGATATGAAACCTCAATTTAAACACATTCTACATAAATAGAAATATACGTGTATTATCATTATTATTATTATTATTATTATTATTAGCTTTATTGAGTATTATATTGTTGGTATAATATAGAATTCTCAACACAAAGTATTTCAACAAGTGTCCATTTGTTACATTTTGGTTGATCTTGACTACAAATATTTAGTGATCGCTGGTTAAAGTTAACAGTTTAGCAAAAGACATATTGCCAACAACCACGATGTCTCTAATTGAGCATTTTTATAACTTGTACAACAGATAGTTGAAAAATTTTCATAAACACAGTTGAATAGATTATGCAATTAATTGACATAATAATGGGTTAAAAACAAGCAAAAAAAACAGATATATAGTTGAAATATCTAGAGGATAATTAAATCGAAACACCAGACCATAGGGATATTTTGGATATATGGTTGAAACACTTTATATCAAACAAATATTGATCATTTATATTGATAGATTTATATAAACAAATACAAATGAATAATATTATTACATAAGTATTTCACTAATTGAAATCATGGGTCAATTGAAGCTAGACCACCATGGAAAACTTGGAGGCACTGGATGGCCGTTTCGTTCTAGTATGGGACTCCTCAACAGTGCGCATCCACGATCCTGCACCACGCGAGATTCGAACCCAGTGAAATTTTTAAAATCTCCACAAAACACCTTCTGATAATAATCATCTACTCACTGGTGACTGAATTCGAGAGGCATTTCCTGAAGTTCTAATGAGAAGTAGTGACTAGTGGAGATCAACTAGGTCTGTTGTGAGATATCAACTCACTGAAGACAGTGGTGTACGGTGGCGCAACTTCGTGGATTAGTTGAAGTTATACATTAGCATGGTTGGATGCCGGCTCAGTGGTTTAGTTGGCTAAGCGCCTGGCGTGGGACTGACAGGTCCTGGGTTCAAATTTCGCGGGGTTCGGGATCGTGGATGCGCAATGCTGAGGAATCCCATACTAGGACGAAACGGTCGTCCAGTGCTCCCAGGTTTTCCATGGTGGTCTAGCCTCAATTGACTCATGATTTCAATCAGTGAAATTTTTCAAATCTCCACAAAACCCCTTTTGAACATAAGTATTTATTTATAGAATAAGCATTTAATCAGTAATACAAAAATGAATATTCTATATTTTTTTGTTTTAATTTTCACAAATATATATGTATTACATCATCATCAAATTGAAGTAAAATGTTCTTTTAAACGAAATAATAGATTTTGTAAATCTTTATGATTAGGAAATAAATTTAATGCATATTTTGTTAAATTATAACTTGTTTGTAATTCACCAAGCTGTAACAGAAAAAATACAAAGAAAAAAATCGAATCATTAAATGATCAATAATAGAATAGTTTGTTTAAGTTAACACAAATAACAAGGTAATTAAAAATAGTTGTTGATCAAATGAACATTTTCAAATTATTATTATTCCAGTTACAGACAGTGTATGAAATCAAACTTAAAATAAATGACTTATAAATTAGTAAAGTTTTCATCATCAAGTCAATCATGTCAATAATAAAATAGTTATCTATTGAGAACAAATAATTGTTTGCTATATTATTCATTTGAGTAAACTTAGAAATATGGATTATTAAATTTGGATATTCAAGTTTAAAAAGTATCACATATACTAAATATACCAAAAATACTGATGTTCGTTTCAATACGAGATGATAAGTAGACATTATTGATAAGTCCTGTATAGAAATAATAGAGCAATTCAGTATTCTTTAATTTTGAATGATTTTCAAGTTTATTATAGTTTGCAATAAAAGCTATTTTGAATTTGAATTCTTATTCTTTAATTATCTAACTAGATTTCTTATAAACATTCTTAAAGTAACTTATTTAGATAATTAATCACTCAGTTGATAACATTATCAATGCTTATTACCTTTAAAATAAAAATCATCTATTCTCCCCTGATGGAAACAAAGTTTATGCTGTTAAAAATCACTTATTTAATAGAATGTGATGTAATTTGATTAGCATAAAATTATTAGCAAAAAACTGAGCACATAAGAAATATTTAAATATTTATTTTAGTTCATTTTAAATCACGTTTCTGACGTAATATACCCGGAAATGTATTAAAAACTAATTGAAACTATATTTGAGGAATTAATCAAAAAGTTTGCTTCTTAATAAATTTCATCTAACATAAATAAAAACTTGTAATGTTCAACTATTCATATACAAATACAATTTTTCAACCATAATTCAACCATAAATTGTAAACCACTTTTTTTATTTAAAAATATAAATTAATATCTATTATTTATTATAGTTTATAAAATTCATTCAATCTCTATTATTTCACTAAATTGCATCATACATAAAGCTTATTAGATAAACGTTTGTATAGATGAAATGAACACCAAGTTATGAAATGTCATTAATCTTTTTTTTTCTAGTATTTTTTTTGTTTATTATTTACACTCATTTTTACAAAATTATGACATTTCAATAATGAAAATAATAAAAATGATATTTTAAATACAGTGAATAATTCTCTACTTTATACGAACACAATTTTATTTTTAACAAAATGATCTATGTTAATTGAAAATGAAAATTTTATCTGCAGTTTTTTTTTTAAAGAGAAAAATAAAAGAACAAACAGTACATAGAATTTTTGTATTTACTTGTATTTGGTTTATCACCTATTAAAACAATATACATACATACATACACACACACGCACATACACACACACACACAACCCCCTCCCTATTTTGAATTTGTAGTTCCTAAATAGTTTAGTTAATAGTTAAGCATGAAATGCTTCAATTGACAATTAGTAACTAGTTACTAATCACTATTTTGTTTTTTGTAAATATTTAATTTTACGCAATATTTATAATAAATGAAAATGTAAAATAAAATGGCTGATTTTGTATTATAAAATTTGTAGTGTATTTTTGTCAGAAATTTTCTTAAAAAAATTTTCTTTTTTAATTTTAAATTAATTGATTCAAACAAAAAATATATCTAATTGTTATATATCTTGCTGAATAGAAATATTATCTTTGGACATTTTAATGACCTTCAGAAGATAAATAGACCAGATTCCAGCAGAACAAGAAATCAGGAAAAAGCGCTGGAAATGGATAGGGTATACAATGAGTAAAGCACCCAACTGCGGCACAAAAAAAGCTTTCACATGAAATGCTCAAGACCAAAAGAAAAGAGGAACACCAAAGAACACATTACGTCAAAAAATGGAGACAGAAATGAGAGGAATGAACTAAAATTGGATAGAACTGGAAATAAGGCTCAGGACATAGTGGGTTGAAGAATGTTGGTCAGCGGCCTACGCTCCATTGGAAGTAACAGGCATAAGTAAGTATATAAGTTTACATAATAAATAGAACAAACTAGATTAAATAGTGAATGAACTTAAATTTAGTTCCTTTGATAAATTTCGATAATTTAATAAGAAGATAAAGATTATCACAACTCTTACCCCATTTTTAGTCTATTTAACCTTTAATTTTTTATATATCAATGTTTTTAACAAGTGTATTATGTGTGATCAGATTGTTCGAAATCTATTGCGCTAATATATCACATAGTTCTGATAATCTTTGTCTTATTACATTATCGAAACTTTAATTTGTTTATATTTATTAATTTCAGTGGTTAAGATCATAAGTTAGTTGGAGCTAGACCACCATGGGAAACCTGGAGGCACTAGACGGCCGTTTCGTACTACTGTGGGATTTCTTAACAGTGGGCATCCATGACATCGCTCCCTGCGAGATTCGAACCCAGGACCTACAAGTTTCGCGCGCGAGCACTTACCCAATAGACCACTGAGCTGGTATCCAACGGTGTTAATGTCTAACTTCAACTAATCCACGAAATTGAGCGACACATCGACCATTGTCTTCAGTGAGTTACTATCTCACAACAGACCTGGTTGAACTCCACTGGTCACTACTTCTCACTAGAACTCCAGGATATACCTCTTGAAGCCAGTCACTAGTGAGCATGATTAATATCAGATGGGTTTTTATGGAGTTGAAGTCTAGCTTCAGCTGACTCATGATCTTAGACATTGCAGTTACCATAATATCCACAAAAAACCCATCTTATATTTATTACTTAAAAGATTAGCTTATCATAAAGTCATAAAATGACAGAATGCTACCTCTACTCAGTGAGACATAATATTTTCATTTCTTTCAGAAATGGTATGCTCATCGTTCAGTTTAATGAAAAATTTCAAGACAGAGCATATCTTGCACTGAAATAATCCTTCATAACAATGCCGTTTTATTAGGATAAATAACATGGAAATATTTATCGAAAAACGTTCCAAATGGTAAACAACCATTAACTTAAGAAAACTTACTTTTAAGCTGATCTACCTAATAAGTAAACACCTATTTTTTAAAATTTAGTTATGCGATTTTAACAATGTATCCAAACGTTGGAATAGAAAGCCTTGACATATGAATCCGACTATAGCGTGAGCTAAACTAACTGATCATTTATTTTGAATTAAGATGAAGGTATATCAGAAATTGAATGAAATGACTGAAAATGTGATTCGTTGGATCCTGAGTCGGTAACTTGAAGTTATCGCTCTCATTCCAAGATTCTATGGTCTTGGATTCGATCACGTGTTGGATCAAGATGACGATGATAAAAATATTCGATTATTCAGCTGATATCAATACCTAATAAAAATTACCTCTCAGAAAATCACAAAATCACAAATCAGAATCCATCTTAGTAACTTTTAAGAAAAAAGTTTTAGTTAACTTACAGTTTCTGTTAGAAAAGCTAAATTGTGATGTGGTTCAAATAAATCAAAGGTTAACTGACATGACGTTTTATATAATTCTTTAGCCTACAATTAAAATATACAAATCAAAATGGGAAAGTAGATATGAAGCAACGATTGATCTTGTGGCAATTTGTAATACAACATTTTTCATCATACTAACCTCTCTAACTGCATCCATGGTTTTTTGAGTACTAAAATTTCAATCTTTGGTACTTATATCAGACCATACATTAGCCTTACTGTAAGAGCGGATATACACGTTTTGTTTTATAAATTATCTATTTTTATTATACATTAGACAATAGTTGTGTTGATCGGCAATTTCATTTACAGTAACAATTCAGACAGAAACAACAATATATCAAACAAAGTTGCACTGAAAACAAATCTAAACAAATAATTAAAGTTAATAGAAAAATGTGAAAAAATGAAACGAGAACACAGAAATACATGAACAACCTCAATACTTAAATTTAATGTAACGTTTATTCTAGTGTGGTGTGTGCTACTGATGTTGATAGATATAAGTAGTATGTATCACCAATCGAAAGTGAAATGCCTGGAGGCAGAAGGTTAAGAAGATCAAAGAAAAGAGAACAAGAACAAAGAATGATTAGTTGTAGTAACAAATGAACAATGAAATCTGAGACGATTGATTTACATTTTGTAAATGAAGTATTAACTATATAGTTCTCAGATTTTACTAAAATGTTCCGTAATTTTGTATTCAAATACATTCGATTTTTTTCCATATGTGTTCTCTTTCATTACACTAGAATACATTTGGATAGGTTTTACCCGATGTTTCCAATACGTGATCTTTCATACAAATCACATCAGTAATCAATAATGTATTGCATCGATGTTACTTTTTACTTTGAAAGAAATCAAACATAGTGTTCGCCTTCAAAATTGATTAGTCCCTTGTGTTTAAAAAAAAACACAACCAATCTTCAGTTATTCAATTATTTCATTAGATTTTTTTTAGAAAAAGTAGCAGTAATAACGAACGATAATTACGACAATGATTTCACACATCAATTTATGTAAATTTTATTCATTTTGAAATAGTCTTACCATATCAATATTCCCACTTTTTTGTTCTAGTACACCTAAATTATTGTATGCTTCTGCATGATTATTATCATTCATAATAGAGAGATATAAACAATGATAGGCCATTTGAACTTCTCCAATATTCTAAGATTAAAAAAATGAATAAATTCAAAGTAGTGTACAGTTAGTTATTTATGAAATAATCAAATTAAACGTTTATTCAATAAGATAAACAATTTCTTTCAATTGACTTTCATCAACTATTGATGAGAATAATACATATTCAAATAAAACTATCAATTACATCAGTGTATCTATGAAATATTTAACTTAATTCATTTGAAGAATATTGTACTTTCATGATACAACTTACTATTACTACTTTTCACTCGGTATTGTTTGAGTTGTATCTTCCCATTGAGGTTTAAGACTGCAATTGATCAGTCTGTTATTGGCATAGGTGCATACTGTGCGGATTGCCTCGATGTTACCTTAATTCACAAGCTATTTCTAAGCAAAGATGGATAACGGCTAGCAGTGGAATCCAGGATGCGCGTTTCGTCCTATTTGGGACTCGTCAGCTGGATTTACCTGCATCTCAGAGTTGATATTCACTCTGGGACTCGAACCCAGTACCATTCGCTCTAAACGCCATCGCGTTATCAACTCAGCTACTGAGTCAATCGCGGTCCTAAATAACAATCGGGAGATACAACTAAACAACATCAATTGAATTCAATACTTTACCCCCAAGTGGATATCAGGATACGGTAGCTAAGTGGATAACGTGATGATGTTTAAAGCGAACGATACTGGATTCGTGTCTCAGAGTGAACATCAACTCTAGGATGCAGGTATATCTAACTGATGAATCTCAAAAAGGACGAAACGCGCGTCTTGGATTCCACTGCTAGCCTCTATCCATCATTGCCTACAAAATATTACTACTTTTTATAATTATTAAAATTAAAATAAATATAAATTGTAGTCTATAACTAGAAGTTATTTTGTAATCCACTCAAAGTTGATCTTTAAATCATGATCAGTTTATTTTCTTAATTATCTTGATCACATTAGTTAATCTTAAAGTTTAATAAAGTGAAAAAATCACTACATAGATTGTATGATTATGTTGTTGTTATGGTTTTATTTATTTATTTATTATAATGAAATTAATTAAAATCAATTTTATTAACCAATTTATAAGTAACTTCATTATTTGTTCTAAAATTGAAATAATCTAAGCTAGAATCAACAAAATGGGGTGGATATTATAGTAGTTTCAATGGTTGAGATCATGAGTCAATTGATGCCAAACCACCAGGGAAAACCTGGATTCACTGGACAGCTATTTCATTCTATAATAATTTAAACCATAATGAACATACTAATTAATTTCTTACAGTGTTTGTTTTTTCTAGACTATCTAATACTTCAATAGAAACTTACTATAATACGAATAAACTTCAATCCATATATATTTCAATGATAAATATTGTTAATAATTAATAAATTTTTATGGAATACATTTTGTTAATCAAAGTAAAACTAAAGATACATTGGTTATTCTATAATTTTCAATTTCATTATTTGTTGGTTAAAAGTATCATCAGTGATGAACGTTATAAAAAATTGTTATATTTCATTGAAATTACAAAATGATTTAAGTTAAGATCGTTTTGCAAAAATGGAAAGTGGCTAACAGTGAAATCCATGAAGCGCGTTTCGTTCTCTTTGAGACTTGTCAGTTAGATTTACCTGCATTTCAGAGTTGATGTTCATTCTGGGACACGAACCCAGTACCATTTGTTTTAAACACCATCACGTTATCCACTTATCTACTGTAGCCACTTGAGGATAAAGTATTGAATTCACTTGATGTTGTTTACTTGTATCTCCCGATTGTTATTTAGGACTGCAATTGACCAATCTCTTTTTGGCATATATGCATCCTATGCAAAGCTTGTGAATTAAGACAATAATACGTGTAAACAACATCAAGTGAATTTAAAACTATTTTTTGTTAAGAATCACGGAAATAAAAGTTTAAATCCTATTGTATAATCATTCAGTCATTCAATGATTTTATTTTCTGAAGCTTGATACATTGATTCGACTAATCAATCGAGATGGTGGAGAAGATTTATAGCTCAGGTGGATGATTTTGACTAATCAATCGTTGCATTTTAGCGCTGATAATGTCATAAATTTCATCTTTACATAAAGAAATTATTTGAATAATATATGAGGACTGGCTTAACTAGGAGGTATTTTTCATCCTGAACTGACAATGATGAAAGCATCAACTATCTTTTTCGTACTATTTAATATTTTAACTGTTTTAAGAAGTTTTTTATTTGATATTAATTCATAATATACAATGTTGTTTAGTGCAATTAGACCTTATTAAATTATTTATTGTTGTTCATTATATTTACTGTGATAAGTTTTACTGACCATTATTTTACATTATCTATTAACAATAAGCGCACAAATTGATCTCTTGCTAAACGTATAACTGAGCATTACCTAGTTTGGACATTAAAAGGAGAATGTGAATCAATCATCAGCTCAATGTTAAAACATCTCATCACTTTTTGTTGCATTACCTCACCAGAAATGCTCTTCAAAATATTCTACACGGTTAAACAATCAGTTTAGAAAAACAGTATAAATCATTAATTTGTTCACTGGAGAGGTGACATAAATTCAACATTTCGAGCGTGGTCTTAGTGTTTAAAAGAAATAAGTTCAAGTTCACCTTATACCATGGCCATTACATTTGTGACTTTTTTGTACTTGATAAACCAATAGCTACTATTTTTTTTGATGTTCCAAGTTTTAAATTATTCTTCACCTTTCTTATATCCATCAAATAGACAAGTATCTTTCGTTTGTTTGACCTCATCGTAATAAGCTTTCAAACACGAGACCAGAGGGTCTGTGTTCGACTCTTGGATACACTTCTGAAAAATCATATAATAGAACAAAACAGCTGTCTAGTGCTTTCAGATTTTCAATAGCAGAACACGATTATATGGACAGAGAATATTCTTTTCAAGAATTTCTCATCAGGTTCTACAATTATAAATCCAAATTAATAATCCATAAAACTGGCCAGATTTAAGGCATAGTGCATCATCTAAAATTGTAATATGTGAATCAAGAATTGCTTGTTATGTCCAAAACTTATTATTATTATCTTTATCATTGTTATTTATTTATTATTATTACACTTGACAACCTTTCTGAGAAATTTATTCAGCATCTACCCCTATCTACTATGTCTGACCTAATTCATATTATTCTAGATATTACGTAATTTCTGATTTTTATTCCAATATTTTCTATCTCACCCCATGTCGACCATATTTATTCTGATCATGTATCTCACAATTTCGTTTCGCTTATACACCGATTCAAGTTAACACTTCATATTAGTCAGCCCCAACAATAACGATTCTGACTCGATTTTATATGACAAACAACAATTCTTGATTCACATATTATAATTTAAAATGATGAACTCTGCCTTAAATCTGGCCAGTTTTATGGGTTAAAAATTTGGATTTATAATCGTAGAACCTGATGAGAAATTCATTGAAAAGAATATTCTTCGTTCATATTAGTTATGTTTCAATATACTGTGAATTTTTTAATAGTAGTTTAGTCAAAATCAGTTTGCTATTTAACAATCCAAAGAATATTATTTCATAGAACAAGTGTTATTACGAACTATTCATTCTAATAAATAGATTTATTAAAAAGGGTTTTGTGGAGATTTTAGAAATTTCACAGGTTGAAATTATGAGTCAATTGAATCTATACCACCATGGAAAACCTGGGAGCACTTGACGGCCGTTTCGTTCTAGTATGGGACTCCTCAGCAGTGTGAATCCATGATCCCACACCCCACGAGATTCGAACCCATTGAAATGTCTAAAATCTCCACAAAACCCCTTCTAATAATAATCATCTGCTCACTAGTGACTGACTGCAAGAGACACTCCTGGAGTTCTAGTGAAAAGCCGTTAACAGTAGAGTTCGACTAAGTCTGTTGTGAGATATCAACTCACTGAAGACAATGGTGTACGGTGGCGCAACTTCGTGGATTGGTTGAAGTTAGACATTAACACGGTTGGGTGCCGGCTCAGTGGTCTAGTGGTTAATCAGTCACGCGCGAGACTGAGAGGTCCTGGGTTCGAGTCTCGAGAGACGAGATCGTGGGTACGCAGTGCTGAAGAGTCCCATACTAGGACGTAAACGGCCGTGCAGTAATCCTATGTTTTCCATGGTGCTATAGCTTGAAATGACTCACGATTTCAAATATTGAAATATACTTATGTAAAAAAAACAAGAACATTTCATTTCGGTAGGATAGATTGTTTATCCTTTAATGATAATAATAACAATAATAATAATAGTAATGATGCATAAAAATCCTTAAAATATGAAACATTACAAATCACTTATTTATATGATTATTAAATAAGTAGTAAACAGCAAATCTAAATAATGAAATAATCATGAAAATTTATTGACATTTATTTTTATAAGTTAACAATATCTCATTGATAAAGCACATATAATAATCAACAATTTATCATAACAACCTGATGAAAATCTAATAAATTTGTAGTGTTTTAAGGGGTAAATAAATAAAAATTAAAATTCTTTTTGGGTTAAACTTCTCGACACACAAAAACAAATGTTAATAAAATAGATATACACTAACAAATTACACTTTCAATGGAAGCTAGACCACCACTAAAAACCTGGAGGCACTGGACAGCCGTTTCGTCCTATTATGAGACTTCTCAACAGTGAGCATCCACGACCCCGCCTCGCGAGATTCGAGCCCAGGACCCAGGCCGTCTAATGCTTTAGGGTTTTTCATGGTGATCTAGCTTCAACTGACACATGATTTCAACTATTGTAACTACTATAATATCCACAAAATCCCTCCTGATGTTAAATTACACTTTATTTATAATATTGAAAAATTTAATAAAGATATGTTGTTTTTTAAGAATATGAATATTCTTAATGAATCTATTTAGCTAATATTATAATTTTATTGTAATAGATTTTTGTTTATATTTACTTATACTACTTATATTCAATCATTTCAATTACTTTAAATCATAATGTAAATAAACAAAAATCTTATTATAATAGAAATCAAAATTAGATTTTGATAAATAAATTATTTAATAATATAAAATATTGTAAGTAATAAGTAGAATAAAATTTATTATTTATTATTTAAATTAAGTGGTTTAAGAAAATATAAAAAGTGTGAGAAAAATGATTTTAAAAGCTTAAATATAAAAAGGTAAAACATTTATGTACTTTAATATGATACATTTATGTAAACAAACTTAGGTCATAGTACTTGAAATAGAAATAAGCGACTGTCAATGACATGAATGATTCTATACTGATTGGTATAATGTTGAACTTATTTGATAAGTTTAAATTATCAAAATGATTCACTACGACTGTTGAATAATGTTGCTGTAATGAAATACGTACATATTTCAAAATGAGTAATTTTTTAATCTATCTAAAGTACAGGAAATTGTAAATACTTTTATTTAAACTTCTGGAGTATCATTATATATCATGAAGTATATTAAACCAATAGTTGTAATGACGAAATATTTCATTAAACATTAGATTATTCCTTAAAACGTAATTCATCTTATTGAACAAAATTAAACAATGACATAATATGTAGTAAGAATAATTACAAGACTTACAATTGCTATATGTCCCAGATTATAATAAATATCTGCTAAATTCGTTGTATCACTTAGTGCAATAGCTTGATTGAAAAATGATAAGCATAGATCATATTGTTGAGTATAAAATGTGCACAATCCTAAATTATTATATAATTCAGTTGATTCATATCCATATTGTAGAATACGTCTATTATTTTTAAAAACAAAAATTAGAATAAATTATATGAATAAGGTTATATTGATGTTAGCTGGTTGAATTCCATTGAAAAGAAACCTTGAACTTGGATTTCGTGCTAGTTAACAATAATCAACAAACTGAATCTGGAATGTCGAAGATTATATGATGCTAAATATGCTATTTGAACTAACGTTACATATCTAGTTAAGTTTTTTTTAAATAAAGTTCATTAAGTGTCCCAAATTACTGTTTAATCCACAATCTCTTTCATTAATTTAACTTATCAGATTTCGAAGCATAAACAACTTTAATTTCACAGTTTCTATCACATTACTTGAAAGCTATTGAAAACTTGTTTAGATCTAGATTAAAATACTTCAACTTTTATTTCTTCTGCTATCAGGGTTAAATTGTATAATTATTGTTTCAAATCTACAGAAAATAAACCAATGAAAATAATTTCGATGACTAAGTTCATAAAGTTCATAAAACCATTCCCTTGATAAAATCTATCCATAAATGATCAAATCAAAAGAATGATTACATAGATAGTAGCTGAATAAAATTAGAACTATGAAGTGGCTGCAATAAGATCTCAGTTTTTTATTCATTTCATCCACACGTCGAAGTGTTTCATTGCATAAAAAATGTCCGCAACGTCAATCCAAATATGGTTCACGTCCCACTGCTATTATTTTCTCAATTTAAACAACTGCTACTGAAGTACCTCATTGAGAAGGGTGCAATCTCATTGGACCGCTACTATGCTGATAAAATTAAAAAAGATTTGTGTAACTAATCTCCATGTTTTATGAACTGTATGGATTGTAATCAATTTCATCATAATCAAGTGGTTTACGTTTGCCATACATTTTCTGTTTGAAAAATATGCTACTGAAATTATATAAGTAACAAAATTCTCTTACTCGAAATATCGAGCAAATAAGATGATGTTACATTGATAAGCTTAATTTACTTGAGGTTGTTAATAAGATGGCCGTAACCTCAAAGACGTGACAGATTCACACAACCGACTGTCAGAATTTTAAATCAAAAAGGTGAATAATTTCCTATTTTCAGTGATAGTTAATTGATTATTTTTTGATTACCTACCATGATGAACATGATGGATTTGATGCAGATCTGAAGGTGCGGATCGGTAAAGCGAAAACAGCATATCTACAATTGAAGAACATCTGGAACTCAAAACAACTGTCAACCAACACCAAGGTCGGCATTTTCAATACAAATGTCAAGACAGTTCTACACTATGGGGCGGAAACTTGGAGAACAACGGAAGCCATCATCCAGAAGATACAGGTGTCTATCAACAGTTGTCTACGCAAAATACTTCGGATCCGTTGGTCGGACACTATTAGCAACAACCTACTGTGGGAGAGAACAAATCAGATCCCAGCGGAAGAAGAAATGAGAAAGAAGCGCTGGGAGTGGATAGGACACACATTGAGGAAAGCACAAGATTATGTCACAGGACAAGCCCTCACATGGAATCTTCAAGGTCAAAAGAAAAGAAGAAGACCAAAGAACACATTACACCGGAAAATGGAGATAGACATGAGAAAAATGAACAAGAATTGGATGGAACTATGAAAGAAGGCCTAGAACAAAGTGAATTGGAGAATGCTGGTCGGCGGCCTATGCTCCATTGGGAGTAACAGGCGTAAGTAAGTAAGTAAGTAAGTAAGTAAGTAAGTAAGTAAGTAAGTAAGTAAGTAAGTAAGTAAGTAAGTAAGTAAGTAAGTAAGTAAGTAAGTAAGTAAGTAAGTAAGTAAGTAAGTAAGTAAGTAAGTAAGTAAGTAAGTAAGTAAGTAAGTAAGTAAGTAAGTAAGTAAGTAAGTAAGTAAGTAAGTAAGTAAGTAAGTAAGTAAGTAAGTAAGTAAGTAAGTAAGTAAGTAAGTAAGTAGTCCATAGTTGTTCAAAATAAACCTATTACATCACCAATACATAAACACGCATGAAATAAACTAAAATTAAACACCAAAAACTTGCCTATAATACTTTAGTGAAACTTCTGGTTCATCCTCATAAAAATAATGCATTGCAATTGAAGCCAAACTCTCAACATTCATATCGTCTATTTGAGATATTTCCTTGTATAAAGCAACCGATTGTGAAGCATTGTTTAACTTCTAAATAATATTTATTGCAAAATGTATTATATAGGATGAGATTAAAGCGTTATGGTCTAATAAATAACTACTGGAAATCATTACATGAAAACAGTCTATCGAGGCTGAAACTCATATAATGGTTACAACTATTGACAAGTAAGAGTGAAGTGTCAGATAAAAATAACTTACATTACAATGTGTGACTCTTGATATTTCTGATTGAGTTTTTTACCAGACTTAGGAAACAAATGAGTTATCTTTATTAGTATTATCACTATAGGTTGCGTAATTGTTGTACCCCATATTTAAATCGTATGCTACCTCTGATATCTAAATTATGATTGCACTTCTGACAATTAAGGGGATCTAGAATATGGGTTTCATCCTATTTATGTCTGCTCAATTAGCTGTGAATTAGTGAAATATTTGATTGTCTTAAAACCAAACTTTTGAGTAAATTAAAGGAAAACATTTAAAGAAAATCCAATTATACTTTCAATCACAATCGTGATACATAATCTATTTAATCAATAAACATCTATTTACCTGATATATTCTAGCTTTACCAGTTAATAGATCAATATCATGAGGAAATCTTTCCAAACCTTTATCATAAATGCCAAGTGCACGACCGGGCTGATCAAGCTGTATTGCAACAAATGCTTGAAGTGTATATGCTTCTATACTTGGATTTAATTCTAATGATTGACTGACTGAACATTCAGCTTCTCGTTTAAGTCCTAGACTAAAAACGACAGAAATTGAATGTTGTTATCACAAATTGCAGCAAAACTGACACAAGTATATATCAAGTTGTTTGTTAGTTTAGTAAAGAGATTGTAACAGTTCAAGGAAAATTTAAAATTCTGTTAAATTTCGTTTCACAACTGGAATATTAGTTGTTTATGATAGCATTTTGATATACATTTATGGTCAGAGATAGTTACTAATTGAAAAAAAACCTTTGGCTCGGTTGTTTCCTAGTTGTTAAACTACGTCCATAAATTTTCCCGCTTTAGAATTGTTTCAACTGACTAATTATATGCATATATGCTTTCATGGAAAGCTTACTACCTATCATAGGGTGAAATATTGTAAAAACACAAGCCCAACTACGATAGTATATTGTTATTCTTATCTGTCTTATTCAAGAAACACGGTGCCATTATATTAAGATGTACGAATCCAATATATGATGAGACGAGGGATAAACTAGTTATAAACTTAGGACAGTGATGATAAATACCAAGCTTGTGTTGAAAACGTTTTGCATATATATATTTATTTTGAAAATTTACAAGTTACATGAATATAGCAGAGAAATCGGCTGCAATACCACATATTTTGTGATGAGAGCTATTTACAGTTGTTACGAATGGATAAATGAAAGAAACAAGAAACTTCAGAAAGCTGTTTTTCTGGTAATCAGTATATATACGTATATATGTTTTTCCTTGTGTGTGTTGAGGCCTAATGTAGAGGCTTCTGTTACACTGGCTGTTGTCATTTGCATTTTTTGGTGTATATGGGACAGGAGGGCTAGGTCATCTGCGGAGTTCAAATCATCTGGCTTCATCCAAACTGTCCATTGTATTCCATGCTTCCCATGAGATATGGAGTTCTTCATTATATAGTCAATCACCAGAAGAAAGAGAGAAGGCAAGTGCAAACAGTCTTGTATGACATTGGTCTCAAATTAGAATGCATTGGTGAGCTTTGTATAATCCTTCGTATGAATTCCGTATAATGCCGATGATCTTCACAGGTACACCATAAGGTTCACCTATCTACGCTGTCAAGTGCTATCTCATAATCGGGAAAATTGATGTGTAGTGACGAGTTCTATTCAATTGATGATTCGTAGTGTCGCGATTTGGTTGATACAAAATCAATCTTTACGAAATTCAGCTTGCTGATATTGAAGTTGAGCGTTAACTGTTGTTAACTATAACACTATATTATTTACCACTTTAAATTCATGTGTCTACTATGTTAAATTGACTCATCATGTAAAAAATCATAGGGTACTAATATTCATTAGGTTATCAATGCTAACTACCCTATAGATGAGGTTCAAGTCACTATCAATAAGTGAGAAACATCATTCAAATATAACAAGATCATCGACATATCTCACTGTCATTTGCCACTAATCTCAAGACGTGAACTTAAGTATTAGAATGAATGAAGACATATTCATGACGCTGAGTAGAATCTAAATCACTGTCATTCATTTAGATTTTGAGATGTTTAACTGTCTATTTTAACATTCTTAATTCCTAGAATACAATTTAAAATATCAGCTTTACGAAAAACAGAATTTATAAATATTAATTAGTAGATAACTTGTAGAGTATTTAAGACTTAATTTTCAAGAAAAACATTTACTAGAAAACTCAGATTTAAAAATTGAGGTAAACATAATGAGTATGTAGCTTTTCACTAACTTGTCAACATTTTACGCCTCAATTTCGAATAAAACGTGGTGGTGAATAATAAAAGTATTTAAGAGAATACTTTAATCCAAATAAGTCAACTTTAAAGTGAAGACTAAAGAATATTCATTGAGACATATGATGGCACCAACAATGATTATACTGTGAAGCTAAATAAAGTCGCAACAAAAACCTGTCAACATCTTACTTCGGTATTATCTATAATAAAGCATAATTCGCATACAAAGATACGCCATCCTTGGGAATTCCTTATGTTGGTTGAATTACAAATTGTTTTGGCTTAACTAAAAATAAGTTAACACTTCCACAAATACAGCACAAATGAGTATATATGATAAATCTACAAGCTCTGTTTCACAGTTCTATGCACTAAAAGTACACTTGCAGTGTAGAAATTCCTCCGAGCATTCTGTGGCATCAGTCTTTCAGAATTTGCTTAGTCAAAATTATTTGGACACTAATACACAACACTTGCACATGAAAGATTTCCTTGATAATTAATAAATTTACCTTAAGTATTCAAGAAACTTAGGTGAAATCGCACACAGATGTAAATAATCTTTCAACATGGAAGCATATAAGCCACAATCACTCTGTAGAAATTAATGACCGTTTCAATAAAAGATATGTTCTCTTTGATTTATTCTAGAATATGTTCCGAATCCCCATAAAACATAAATTTGTACACAAGATTACTAATAATCCGATCTTCCTAATGCAAAGTGTCTTAAGTTCATATATTACTTTTTGATATAAATAATTAATAAATTAGCAAAATATACCATTATTAACTCACCAATATAAACAACGTGCTTGCTGCAAATACCACCACCAATTTACCTCAACAGGTTCATTATACCATAAACGATTCGACTGTAATTTCGATACTGAATGTAACATGGTTAAAAAAATTTAACTCATACCCTGATTACTGGCCTTGTTATTAGTGGCACATATTAAATTCGTCAAATTGAGCGATTCACGATATTCTTTAGCAACATAGAATAAATATTCGAATAAAGAGCATGCTATTTCTAAATTCTGAGTATACTTCGCTAAATTCAAACGACTTATATGAACGGGCTCTTTACTTAACTGAGCAGTCTGCGGAAAAAAACAGAAATTAGTCATTTCAGTAATAAAGTACTGTATATTAGTTATTACGAAATTTTATTTCGAAAATTTACTGTTATGGTATTATTAGCACGATTTTGTAACCCCGTAAAACCAACACCGTCGCCATTTCCAATCAAGTGAAAATCAACTGGCATAGAACACTTCCCGCTTTCGCAAAGTATCAAAAACTCTAGTGCTATCAACTTCTAGCTACATTTTCTGGGCTGCATGTGGGGTATGGGTTACATATGTAGTCAGATTTGAGTAGTGTGCATCAGTAATAGGAAGTCGAATTGTTAACGAGCAGAAGATTGAAATAGAGAACAGAAAGAAAAACAGATAGCACTTAGAATAACAACAGAATTGAAAGAATGATGGAGTATGTAAAGGACGACTGAAGAAAGATGTGCAAACATTGTATTCAATGAATGATTTTCATATTTTACAAAGGCACTGTGTAATGTTGTAAATAACAGTAGATCCGTTTACGTACCTGAGTCTTCATTCACTACATGTATACTTTATGGTTATGCCATTACCAATTATCATCAATTGCATTTAATAATGAACACGTGTTCTGTTTACTTCCAGAGTCTTTGGCTCACATTTTCACTTGCTCTTATCTCTTTCAGTTCAATGAATAAATGTTTTCTCTCAGATTACAAACACGAAAAAGTGCCTCTATTCTAGGTTCAAATACTTTACAAAAAAATCGAGCGGTATCATTTTCTGTCATAATTTTTAATTCGACCTTCATCGTTTCAAAATTGTACGTCTCAACCAATTCGGCAGTGAAAAAGCTTTTTGTCTTGAAATTCTAAATATGTTTAGATTTGGGTGCTTTCATTAAGTACAGAAACTGGATATATTCATACTCGCCATTCATGGTACTAAATATAAAATCAATCATGAGTGAAAAGTATTTTTGTTCTCCAATATTTTATTTTAAGTAATATGTCTAACCTTTCCTTCGTACTTATAAAGTAATAACAACAACATTGACTGTATTTTGAAAATAACTTTCATCACCGACAAAAATCAGCTTAAATCACTAAAAGTCAGAAAACAATAAAATGTCTATTTTGGGAGGGCTTGAGTTTGCAGAGGACCAAACCAATGACCTTAAGGTCTTGTAGCAACCACGATATCTTTATCAAACTGAGTCGGAACTGGCAGGTCAATTATTAACACCTGGATCAATTTCTGATAAGGAATGACTGTCATAAAAACTAGTTGGAGACTTTTACTATACTCTGATGATAGTGCGTGACTAAAACTACCTCTAAAATGTGGTGAAGTCTAAGCAAATTCAAGCGAAATTTTGATAACCCAGGTAGTTTAAAAACTACTCTCACTTAACTATATTTGTAGCATAAAATGTTTTTAAAAATTAGGAATGAAATGCTTACGGTTCGTTTTCTTTGGCATTTATTATAATGAGCAGTTATAGGTCTTGAAGTGTTACGAATAACTGTCTCGATAGAATTTGTATAGGTCTCTGTACTGTTTGTATTATAAACACCTGTTAATGGGCGACTGGTTAGATTTGATGGACTAAAATAGCAGATCCCATAAAGAACCAGTATTACTTACCGTACAGCCCGACTTAAACTAGTGGTAGCTGATTTGGAATTATCTGACGAGAAACAAAGAAAACGACTGTCGACAGGATTTCGATCATGGAAAGCGACATCAAAAAGGTTAAACTCCGAGTAAAACTCGTCTTCACCAATCATATCCTCCGTGATTGCTCTCATATTCAAAAGCCAACATGCCATTAATGAGAAGCGGATAAATTTTAAATTGTGCTCACTTCATTATCAGGATCGCTTTTCAAAAGTTTTTCACAAATTTTCCTACAACCCTTGAAATCGCGACTGTAATATCTTGATAAAGCCACGTACATTATATCCATTACTGATCGTGTTGAGAATATAAAAACAAAAACGCAAGCTAGAATAATAATCGCACTAGTTTGGTAGATGCATAAATAATGTTCATATAATCTGATAGAGGGTTCGCAGATATTTTCAGGTTTTTATTACTAACTTACAACAATTAAAGATCCTAAATCGCCGAATGATAACCCTAGTGCAATGAAAACTGAGTGAAAGTAAGAATGTGAATATATGTATACTGACACAATGATCTAAAGCTTTTGTACTATTAACGAGATATGAAGTTTCTTGATTAATTCTTCATATGAGGTAATGGTTTTGCACCACTAATAAAACCTTGACTAAAACAAAATAGCTGTACTATGGGCCTCGGGCTTTACTGGGTTTTTTTCATATGATCCCAATGCATAATGTTTCTACATTCATAAAATGTGTATTTCGAAGTCATATAATTGTATTAATAACGTGTTTTTGATAGTTGGACATAAAAATAGAATTTTAGATTATTCCAGATTAATTTTCTCAAGAAACGTTAGCAATATAACAGACCAATGAAAATGAAACAGGCAATAAAATGAACGGGTCATTAAACAATCAGTTATCAAATTTGACAAGTAGGATATGTGCTTACAAAACCAGGTAATAACGAAGAAGCCCAGTTTGTATATAAATCCTAATCGGATAATAAGGTAAGCAGCTTTCGAAACTGCAATAATCGAGTGTTGCTTAACTAGACAAAAGCCAAAGGAGGTGATTGGAAGGCTGTAGATAAGAATTTATTCAAGTATATCCAAGTATAATAACTAGATAATATTATCATATGAGAAGTGTTTGTATGCAATAATGCAGAAAATATATTCATTACTTGAACTACCCAGGTAACTATCAGTTCTATACAATTCGGGAGAAGAGTTCCTTTGTAAAATCTCAACGGATGAATTTGAAGTAAATCCAACGTTTTGACTGGCAATCTGGTTCAAGCCGTTTCAAGTAAATATAGTCAAACATTAAAATCATCAAGCATAAATAAGTATATGGTTCTCTGGTTAACTGTATAGTAAACAGGTCGTCCAGTCACGTTAACAGTGTTTAAAGTAGGTATTTGTTTTAGTGTGTATAAGACATGTGATACGTAACGAAGTGTTGAGATAATAGATTGTACGATTTGTAAGTGAATCTAAGGTGTGAGAGTAATTTTCATTCACTACTCATCGCCTCTGATCAGCGAATTTTCAAGAAAACATACAATTTATATATATATATATATATATATATATATATATATATATATATATATATATATATATATATATATATATATATATATATATATATATATATATATATATATATATATATATATAATATGAATCAAACGTCTCAAAATGCATGAAAAGATAAATAAACAAAATAAAAATGAAGGATTGAATGTTTGTGTTATTCCCATTATTCCAGCTTATTTGTTTAACATATTTAGATAAGACAACTTATTAGAAAAGTTAAAAGTAATTGTTATTGTTCAAATAATTAGTGATAGATTAAATGGAATGAGGAGTCCAGGTTTGCTTATTATGTAACAGTTGCCATAGGACAACCAATTGTATTCCATCTACCTTATCATTATTATTATTATTATTATTATTATTATTATTATTATTATTATTTGGATTTACCCATATGTATAGGGATTTGGCTGTTAGTCTTCATTTGTAAGAATTAAAACCTTTTTGTAGGATTCTTGTCCCATTGAAATCAATTGTATGACCAAACTTTATCAAGTGTAATGCTATTGCCGAGTTGTTTTCGAGTTTTTTCTATATCATCTGAGGATTTAGGAATCTGCTTTAGGCACAATTTGTGTTCCTTCGCCTTCACACTTAGTCGCATTGTTGTTTCACCTGTGTATGTAGCATTATAATCACTACATTTGATTTCACAAACACAATTTTGTTGTTTCTCATTTGACAAAAGTTGTTATATAGACTTTATGGCTTGCGCAACACGTTTTATAATTGGATTAATACTTAAGTTATTTATAAAACTTTCTTGGGCCAGAACCTCTGATTAAACTCACTAAATTCGCTGAAATCCCATTAATCAGTTTCGAAACAAATGTTTGTATGAAAAGTACATTCTATATAACATAAATAAATCATACAGAAACTTTACATTTACGTTTAATAATACGTTTTTACTCAAACTGAGAAATTTATATCCATAACTAAACCGATATATTTTCACACAATATAAACCTTGAGAGTAGATGAAGAAATGCCGATTAACACTTGTACTTTAAAAAATTCAACGTCATAAACTACTAGTTCAGTTCATTATCCTTCTAACTTTTTGTTGAAATCCTTCAAGTATTCCGAAAAAAACATCCGTGATATTACTCATGGTCTTGGATAGATGGGAAATAACATAAGACGAATACTACTAAAAATGAATTATATCACTTTTACATGTAAAAATACTCGTCTGGCGTGTTTTCACAAAACAAACATTCATATACATGTTTGTTGTGATTATAGACAATCAACGACATTTACATTCAAGTGCAACTAAATATCAATTACTTTAAAAATCACATTGCTACTTTTTGCTGTGTCAGTTGGGATAAAAAACATATAACAGAGTACATTGATATTATTTCATGGAATTTGTTAAGGCACGGTTTAAACGTTAGGTCCTTTTGAAATGTGCCCGCCCTTTCGTTTCAGCGACCTTGAACGGCTTGATTAGAGGCGGTCGTTCCGTATTTCAATTGCCGTGGGTTGGTTGGTTTGCATGAGTATCAATTTTTTTCATATATAAGTCATCCTATGCTACATAAAAAGCACGAAATAAATAGCAAAACCATTAATTTAGCGTTCTCTGTTTTGTAGTGTGCACTTTGGCTCTGTTGTTGCTTTGTAATTTGATCTTTGATCCCAACAATTGTAGTAAAGCTAAACGAAATGTCAAGTCACAGGTAAATCTCAAGTATTTGTAGTATTTCCTTGGGTTATTATTGTTGCAAGGAATAACTGTTTAATAATTAGTAATGTCTGTTTTTAGTGCTTCATCCTCAAGTGACATTTCAGTCGACTTAACCGATGCCTTTCGAAGTATGATACTGAACAAGCGTTTCGTGTTGTGGGATGATTTTGAAAGCGCCTTAAAAGAGTTCCAAAAAGTATGGAACTATAATTTTATCGCTTCTCAGACTACTTATACTCGTTACATCCACACAGAAAGCAGATTGCTGAAGGATGTCAGGTTCAAATACCTGTTTGTATCGTTTAATTGTACGTTTGGTCACAAACGGAAATCGGAAGGTTTGAAAGTGAGGCAAAAATCGTAAGATCTTTAACTAATATCTTATGTTTAAGGTCTAAATTCCGTAATTGTCAATCTAAATTCCGTGTAAGACTAGAAGAGCAAGGATATGTAATCAAATCCTACAAGATGATACACAATCATCCATGTAGTAGTTCATGGATGTTATGTGATCCATGGACAAGGAGATTATCGTCAGAAGAAAAAGAGAACTTGAAGCCCGTAATACTTCACTGTGAGTCAGCAGACGAAGTTATCGAAAGTAAAAGAAGAAATCTTACAGGTAAGCTATATCAATTATGAAATACTAACTGCATAGCTCATCAACTTCTTAGGTATTGTAGCAGATGGAAGTTACACAATACCCAGAACTTCCAAAATTATACATTACCTGCATTACCATGACGGAGTGAAGTGTATGTAAGTATTCAACGGAGCCAAAGAATCCATAAACATCGCATCATTGAGAAGTATGGTGAACGTTTTGCAACGGAAGTTGAGAAGAAAGTGGACAATTATTACTTAAGAATTCTTAATACCAACTTGTAAACTTGATTTTCTGCTTTTGCAGCAATGATTCTTCAATAAACTTTCATAATTTCAATTTTCATCTTATTCCTACTTTTATGGGAATGAATAGCAATGATGTTCATGTGTAACTGTTTGTAATAATTAAGATTGATTAAGAAACCCTACATCCGCGTATAGTTTTGCAGATTAGGCACCCACATATCATATTCACCTTCGTGGGATTACGTTTATCATTAAAATCGTATCAGGACCTATGTACATTTTAAGTTCATGTGATTAATTCCGCTTATGAATCAAAATAAAACCAGGAGAAATGTTGATTAACAGTGGTATGCATTCATTACAACTAAATATGCAATAGGATTTAACAGTGATGTGGGAAACAGTTGACATACCTGAATATGAATAAATGAAATGACGTAGGTTATCAATAGTGACTATATATATATATATATATATATATATATATATATATATATATATATATATATATATATATGCAGTGTAAGGTCAAAGGTCATTTGCTTTTACAGTCAATAACACATTAAGAATGGGTGATATAATAGTTGACTGCAGTTCACAAACAGATAAGTGGTGTGAAATTCTTATAGCTTGTAAATGATCCGTGGATTTAAGAACTGAAAACTTGAGTTACGTCATAATTGATTACAATTTGCAGAGGTCACGTAATTACAGAGGATTAAGTGACAGGGTGATGGAAAAAATGCGTAACTAAATTTTAAAAGTGAAATAAATTATTACATAATCCTTCTTATTACTTGTTCATTCCATGGATTATAAGGAGTTCATATTATTCTCTATCTATATTTGTTCTAGCGTCATATCGACTATTAATAAATACTGACACGGTTTATAACGTAAGACACTAAGTGTAGTTGCTATATTTATATTTCACTAATTCATTTGTTGAATAAAAATGATTTTAATATGGTCTTCCATAATCACAAATTCTATAAGTTGTAGACCGGCGTAAACATCATCACAAAGCTTTGACGACTTCATTTGATTCATACAATTCTGAAAAACAAACAAATCAGTCGTGAAATAAAGAATTAGACCTAGTTATCAATATCACATTTAATAAGTCAATCAAATAGCAGGTTACAGAATGTACTTATAAGTCTCTTATTTGCAGACAGCGCTAATCATTAGA